GATTTGTTCTGCCCGAATCAGTCGGCTGACACTGCAAACACAAACACGTGTCCTGCACATGCAATCGCTGCCCGCACAGGGCAACCTGGTTATATTTTGTGTAGCATAAATTGCGGGGAAGATGAAACCAGGCAGCCTGGAACTCATGCGGGGCGGCTGTGCACAGTGGAATGGACAGCGCCCTGCTGGTGCTGCAGAGGAGTGCGGTGCCCTTCTCGTGGGCATGAGAGGCAGCTTGCCAGCGTGCAGGCTTTCCCAGAAGATGGATAGGAATTCAGTTATCCATTTTACCAAACTAGAAATCTGTCAAAACCCATTTCCCCAGCATTTCTGTCCATACTGTCTGCAGCCACGGAGTCCACTCTGCACCTCCAGCTGCATTTCAAACCACCCCTCAGCCTCACACTTCTGACTGCTGCTGAAAACACCAAATAATTGAAGGACATTTTAGTATTCATTGTTGTTGTTGTTGTTGTTGTTTTTTGGTACTGGAGATTGAACTCAGGACCTTGCATTTGCAAGGCAGGTGGTTGAAACCACTGAGCTAAATCCCCAGTCCTGTTGTTGTTTTAATATTAATTTGCACGTACTTTTAAATTATTAAACACTACCTTATAAAATGGTATAATTTTATTAAACTAATTGAGCAGTTTTATTTTTACAAATGCTTTAAATATGAATAGGGTTGATAAATGCACAATTCAAGAAATGCCCAGATAAAAGTTTTTATTTAATTTTTTAATTTTTTAATTTTAATTTTAATTTTTGGGGGGCACTGGGGATTAAACTTGGGACCTTGTACTGAGGTGAATCCCCAGCCCACAGATAAAAATTTTAAAAATAAACAAGACCCACAAAGATTGGCCTAGTGGTGCCCACCTGCAATTCCAGCTACTCAGGAGGCTGAGACAGAAGGATCACAAGCTCAAAGGTAACCTGTACAACGGCGGGGGATATTGTCTCAAAATTAAAAAATAAAAATAAAAAAGGGATGTGGGTTTAGCTTAGTGCTCAGATAGCAAATGTAAAAGACCTACGAGCCCTCTAAGAATGATTGTGCCTGAGAGGTGGCTTCCTAATGATATTTTATAGCTAAAATGGGTTTTATAAACCACTTTGTGCCACCCTACACTTCTAAATCCTCACACATAAAGATCCTGCCGCGATAGAATTACTCCCAGGTTTTCTGGGAACTTGTTAAAAAAAAAAAAAAAAGGAAGTTTATATTTAGGAATATAAGTAAGTTTATAAAACAGTAAAAATCAAATGGAACAGTTGGATATTAACAGTTATCACCAAACAAGGCTAATGAAAAGTTTTCTCGCTGAGATTTAAAAGCGGATAAGTGAGGCATTCTATTCCCTATCTCTACCTCCTCCCGGCGCCTGTTACCTTCTCATAAGGCACTGATAGTTCTAATGGGATCCCAGGTCTACATCTGGGGAAGCAGCAGCTGTGAGCTCTGCAGCTGGTCCAGCCATGGCCAGGAAGGACAGGTTTCCCTCCTCCGAGGTGTTCGGTAATTAAACGATTGTAACTGTGTCAATGATCACGGACGTACTAAACCACATGGAGCCCATGAGAAGATTTAGTATTTCTCAGATGCCATCAGGGCCTTGAGGATGGCGTCCACCCTGCTACTTCCTGGGTCTGGAGAACAGTGTCACTTAATAGCCTTAAGGATCGAGTCCCCCCCACCTTGGTGCACTTATTCAGACTGGCTGCCGGCCGCATTTGTGATTCATTCATTCCTGTCCCTTCTGAAATCATCACTAGAGCTGTGCTGCCCCCAGCTCCTTGTGCAGATGGCTTCGTTTAACCAGGAGGCTGGGGTTACCTGTGCGATGCAGGAACATGAAGGATACTTTAGGGCGGCCATAAAGGCTGAGACGGCAGCATGCTTCCTGCTCAGCTGCCCCAAGAGGGGCCAAAGTATAATAGTGAAAGGCTGCAGTGCAGTGGGAACCTGTGCAAGTCCTTACGTATCACTGTCAGGCATCCATGGACATCAGTCAGCCAGCCTCTCCTCTTGCATCCCGGAAAACTGTTGTAGAGCAAGCAGCACCAAGCGACATTCGTTCCCTGAGTCATCCTAAAACAGAGATTCTCAAACTTTAATTTGCATTCAAATCACGAGGCAGTTCTTAAAAACTTCAATGCTCAGGACATGGTCCAGGTAAATTCAACCAATCTCAAGGACGGACTCAGATAAAGGCAAGAAGATATTCTAAGGCTCCTCTGCAATTCCAGCCCATCGTGGAGAAGCAGAGATTTTGAAAGAACCTCTGGCAAAATGAGGATTTGCTAACACAGTATCTATTCAGTGATGTCAAAACTGAATGTTGACTCTAGATGTCTGTGCAGCTGCCTGGTTGTGGTGCTGGGGACAAGCTCTCACCCCACGATGGTGGTGTGGGCCTTTTCCTGCCTGCAATCTGCAAACCCTGTCTAATATTTTCCATACTGGGCAATGAGATCAGAAACTCTAAAATACTAAATCAAAACCGGAGGCATTACGGGTCTTCAATAAAACTCCACAGCTCATACATGGGGTGGGGGCAGGGAGAGAAAATTAAAACCATCACTGAACTGTGGACATATTTTATATACGTAAATATAAATACATGTGTGTGGATATATGAATATATAGCAGGTGTTGGGATGTTGCAGCAATTCGAGAAGGAGAGATAATCAGGGATAATTAGATAAAAATGTTTGGCCGGGCAGGTAGTAAAAGGCTACTCACAAGTAAACATCTCATTTGTGCCTTAAAGAAAGCTCCTTGTAAAAGATGACTGATTTCTGAAAAAGTTCTATTCTGGGAAGAAATAAGAGATATGCTTATAGAAATTAAGTGAAAAGAAGGAGAGCCTATTTTGATGAGAATACACAACTCCAAAGGCTTTAAAGACTTCTGGGCTTACACTAAACAAACTGACCAACAGCTCAGTAACAAGGCTTTTATTCCAAAATAGTAATGTTTCTAAGAAAAATGAAAAATGAAACTAATATCTACATCTGATTACAATTTCAATCACAGAAAAGGGGGAGGGGAAAGAGGCATTTGTGGGGGGATCTGCGTGTCATCCACCTGTAGGTTTTAGTTTTTCTGTGGTAGAGCCATTATTATAAAGTTTAATCTGCAAAACAAAATGCCCCCTGTCCCGGGCTTGAATTAGCATTCTTTTAGCGTGCTGAAAGACTGGGGAGGACTGGTCTTTGATGGGAAATCAGGCAAAGGCAAGTAAACAAGCCCTAGTGAAGACAAAGGGCTGCACAGCGTCCTTCCTTCGCATCCTCCAAGTCCTGTCTGTGCAGGAGCAGAAACATCTAATGACTGCCTTTGCTTTCAAGGGCAGTGTGCTTCAAGCTGGTTTCAATTAGACTGGGCCAGCATGGATGCCTCTGTCACACACATGTCCGTGCTTGCAGGAGATCTCGTCCAGTGCCCACCCGTGCCTTTGCAAGTCATCTTCAAGGTGGTCACACAGTCACCGTCTCCCTTCCCTTCACAAATGCCACTTATGTCTTTTGCAATCCAAACCAAACCGAACAAGAAACAAAACCCCTCTTGCTGTGGCTACCTTACATCTCCCCTGTTCTGAGTACTCAGGAAGATGTGCCTCACGGACCTTTTAAATTTCCCATATATTTCTATTTTAATATCAGCACTGTCGTATAAACATTTCTGAGAGCTCACTGCAAAGGTGGAATTTTGGCCACTGCCTGAAGTCTTCTGCAGGATGTTTAGGTCAATGAGATGAAATGAAATTGTTCTAATTGCACAGTATTGATAATGATAATTCTTTGCAAGAGGAATCCGAGTCTTGTGCTTTCCCTTTTGCCGAGGAAAGCAAGGAGACACCACACATGGAACTCTGGATCCAGCTGGGGCTTGGTCTACACACAAGAATAACACATGGGCTCCTGGAAGGCTCAGAGCAACCCATTCTGCCTACAAAGGGCAGTAGCCCCCTTTGTTTATTTTATCACCCAAACTCCACCGACACCCTATAAAGTGTTCCTATTCTGAGAGCAATGTTATAAATGTACTAGTCAGGCCCCTGCACCTGAGAGTAGGAAGTATTTTAGATCTTCCTTTGTGAAGCACAATTTCCTCTTTTAATTCTAGTATGGGTCTCACGGCAAACCTGTTGTCTGATTTTTTTCTCCCTTTCTTCTCTGAATGGAGTCAAGGGATTCTGGCCACCCGCTGTTTTGTTTATCACACACAAAAATATTCATTTATCCCTACTTATTCGTTTCATTTAAGGAAAATGAAAAACAATTTTTCTTTGCTTTTCTGGCTGCTTTACATTACTAGAGATGTTGTCTAGGTCTGTAATCAGGGTAGGTGAAAAGGACAGATATATCACAGATACATCGACCCAACTAGCCAAATGCCTTAAGACCTCGGGTCAAATGGAAAACAGGTCCCTGCTAGGCAGAGGGAGATGGTGGTATTTCTTGCTCTTGGGCTGTGTTTTAATGCTGCTGGGTACCAGCCCAGACACCTTTCATTTGGGATCTGGTGAGTCTGGCTTCACAGGGTCCACCATCCACATTAAAGTGGGAAGGGACAGTAGCCTCATGGCAGCCTCCTGGGCCCTTCACCCCAGTCCTTCTCCGTCCCTATTCCTTGCTTAACCGTCCTGGTCACTTCCCAGTGGTTTCCTTGCAGCAATGCAATCCCCTTATCTGGCCCAGCTCTTCTTCCCGGGAGTTTTCTTGCACTTTTCACTTCTTTTATATAAAAAAAGTTCTTACTATTTTTAAGGAGTGACGTGGAAGAGTTTCCTTTGCAAAAATGTGCGTCTGTGGTGTGAGATGTCACTACAACCCGACATAAAACTCATCTATTACCTGAGCTGCTTCTTAAAAAGTAAAGTTCAAAAATTTAGAAGCTGACTTGTTTGATTTATTTAGAGCCACAGGACTCACTGTGCAGTGCTCTTAAAAACAGCCGAAGTAGAGCCAGCAGAATCTGGAAGCCGACCGAGATGGTTTGCAGTAGGAAGACCCAGACCTGGGGAACCGGAGAGCAGTTAGGCCAACGCTCGCCAGCTTCTTCAGGGCTCACGCCTGTGGTTTCGGCTCTCTGTTCCTTCACAGCAGCACCGGGTCGCAGACCCGAGCGATCTGAATCGGACTTTCATGTGCTTGTTTGGTTTTCTCCTGTAAACTGTGCAACTGCCGGGAAGAGCCCAGCCCTTTGCACATTTTATTTTGCAACCAAATCCCCGCTGCCCGCCAAAGAGTCTCATCAAAACCTCCACATGGGAGACGTGGAGTGGGTGCGACCGTCGCTCCCAGGACGGCCCGGGCGCCTACTGAGCAAGCACGAACTTTCAGGCTCGGGGCTCCCGGTTTAGGAGGACTCAAGGGCGACCTTCGCTGCTGCCAGCCCCAGTCACCCACTTTGCACTTGCTCAGGGACTCACGCTGTGACACTCAGCCTGCCCTTCTTCGCCCTGCCTGGGAAAGTCTCGGCCAGCTCCCAGGGGGCCGAGGGAACCCGCACCCCTAATCCCTGCTGCAGTACGCCCCAGCCCCAGCAGGCGAGCCTGTCTCGGGTTCCCTTTCTGGGGCGCAGTAACCGAAGTTCCCAGGCCGGTCACGCAGACCCGCGGACTCCTTACCTCCGCTCTCGGCGCTGGCCAGCAGCTGTCCGGCCAGGCGGAGCTGGTTGCTCCCGAAAGGGAAGGACGTCTTCAGGTTCCAGCAATCCCACTTTGGGCCACTTCGCTGCTTCAGCCCTCAGCGCGGGAACTCGCGGAGCCCAGATGGAGACCGACAGGGGGCGACAAACTGTAAGGTTTTCCAGGTGCCTGGCTGGGCCTGAGGCTGCAGAAAGCTGGTGTAGTCGCGACTGCACCTGGGGAGGGACCCAGTGTTGCCATTTGGATGGTAATCCTTGTGCTCCCTTGGGCCTCCGCCCAGCCATGAGCCCCTTCCCCGGAGCGAGGGTTCCTTCTGGACTGCGCCTCCTGCATGGGGAGCTGGGGCGAACCGGGTGTCACATGTACTCTCTTCGCCCTTCCAGGGTGCCCTGAGTCCTCACCTATAGGGGAGAAAAGTGGTCTCAGCTGTCTCTCCAGGACGATCCCACCGTCTAGGAACCCTCCCTCCTCTGCATCCTTTGCCTGACTTGAAAGCAGGGCACCTCTAGGCTACAGGCGCAATGGTTCCAAAACACCAGGAGGGTGTGACAGCAGAGGATGATCCTGCTCTCCAAAGCCTCGGTCCCTTGTGGTGCAGAGTGCATTGTCCAGTCCAAGTGGTCACTGGGTCTCTGCTGAGTGCCAGATAGGCCCAGCTTTCAAGGAGCCCTAAGGCGATGACCCCAACCCTCTTCCCTGTCCCCAAACCTCTCTGAGGCTCCCAGAACACTGGATTCTGCATCTTGCACAGGGAAAAAGTCCTAGGCTCTTTTCAAACTGGGTTTTCTTAATTCTTGCCAGGAGTCCCAGCGTCAGCCTGCAAGGCCTTTTTTGATCTCCCTGAAGAGCCCAGGACAGACCCTGCTAACTGGTACTCTCAGGAATGCTGATAGGAGCCAGCCTTGCTCTCCAGCCCCACAGAGGGAAGGTTCAGGGCCTCCTCCAGCTGCCTGGCCACATGGGTGGTGTACCTGTGGGCCTGAGGTGGTGGAGCCCACTCAGAGGAGTACATTCCTTTGAAGAGGAGTGTTTTCTTGCCTTCTAAGGAGAGGTGTGAGTCCTAAGAGGCCTGGCACCCCCAAGTTGTCCTAGACCTCATCTGGTCCATCCTCCTCCTGCTGCGCATTGGCCAGGGCCTCTGAAGCCTCTTGGGTCCTTTCAGGCTCAAAACACCAAGATTTCCTCCTTCCCCTTTCCTTTAGCCCCCTCTGCATGACTCTATGTATTGAAGATAAGTGGAAAAGAGTTGGCATCTAATGCCAGTGTCAAAGAATTCAGTGCTATACACCAACACTGCCCTTAAACGCAGGGGAGAGAACCCTTCTGTATTAGCAGAAATGCCTGGGGCCCCAGGTACTGGGGAGAGGCAGGCTGGGAGGCCTGGGATGGAAGGGTATCGTTGGCCTTCAGTGGGAGCCACTCTTGCAGCCTCTTGCAGATACTAGGGCTCCTTGCCATCCAAGGATAGCAAGGCCATGGGATCCAGGGACAGAAGGATGGAATGAGCTCTGGTGTGTGGGACTGGCTGCAGAATCTGACTGGAGACAGAATCTGGAGTCAACTTCCCAGGGAGGTGAAATGGCCCCCCACTCCAGGGAGGGGTGGCCCTTAGACTGGGAAACCAGATGTCCTGGAAGCAGGACTGGGGAGATGGCTGGAAACGGGGCTCACTGCTCTAGGCACATGCTGTGTTCCTTCATCTTGGCCCTGGCACAGTGGAACTGGAATCTTGATCCTTTTCTTCCCTTGTTCCTGTTAGGGAGGGGAAGTTGAGGCAGGCACACCCTAAACCCTAAGATCAATTGTCATCTTCTGAGAGCTTATTAATAATGGTGGCAGAAGTGGAGATAAAACTAAAACCAAAACTAGAAATAGTGTCAGTAGTAAGTGCTGTATAATCAGTTTGAAATGACTTCCCCATCATTCCCAAAGCCGGAGGCAGGAGTGGGCTCAAGGGCCATTCCAGGCCCAGCTGGGTTGGGGACAGTTGTGTTGGAGGAGTGTGTGGTGTGTGTGTGTGTGGGGGGGGATTGGAGGGGTGGAGAAAGCGGTGGGGAGGAAGACACCCGGAG